CCGAGAGGAAGGACAGGAACCACTGCAAAGCAGTGCCTCCGATACCCAGTCCCCTCAGGCGGTCCAAGAGGATGCCGCGATCTATTGTATCGAAAGCCACTGAGAGGTCTAGGAGCACCAACAGGGTCACGCTACCCCTGTCGATGCTCAGACGCAGATCGTCGGTCAAGGCAACCATGGCAGTCTCAACCCCAAAGCCTGTCCTGAAGCCGGTTTGAAATGGGTCTAGATAATCGGTTTCATCCAAGACTGCCTGGAGCTGAAAAGCAACTGCCTTCTCGATCACCTTGCTCAAAAATGGCAGCAATGACACAGGCCTATAGTTCTTCATGTCCAGGGGGTCCAGGGAAGGTTTTTTCAGAAGCGGCCTAACCGCCGCTTCCTTTAAACATGATGGAACATGTCCTTCCCTAAAGGATGCATTGATGATATCGGTAAGGAATCTCATCAATGCATCCCCCCCCCGGATGGCCAGCCAAGATGGGCAAGGGTCGAGAGGGCAAGTCGTCTTCCTCACCTTTTTGAATTGTGGTGCTCTAAACTGGACACAGTATTCCAGGTGGGGCCTGACCAAAGCAGAATACAGTAGCACTGTTACTTCCCTTGATCTGATACTATACTTCTATTAATTCAGCCTAAAATTGCATTGGCCTTTTTAGCTGTTGTATCACACTGCTGACTCATGTTCAACTTGTGGTCTACTAGGACTCCTAGATCCCTTTCACACGTAGTCTCGTTAAGCCAGGTGCCCCCCATCTTATATCTAATGCATTTCATTTTTTTGCTCTAAGTGCAGTACCTTACATTTCTATGTGTTGAAATTCATTTGGTTAGCTTTGGCCTGGCTTTCCAATCTATTAAGGTCATTTTGAATTTTCATTCTGTCCTCTGAGGTATTAGCTATTCCTCATAATTTGGTGTCATCTGCAAATTGGAGAAGCAAGGCCCCTATTCTTTCATCCAAGTCATTGATAAAGATGTTGAATAGTACTGGGCCCAGGACAGAACCCTTTGGCACCCTACTGGTCACTTTTATCCAGGATGAAGAGGAGCCACTGCTGAACACCCTTGGGTTCAGTCAGTCAACTAGTTACTAATCCACCTAACAGTTGTATTGTCTAGTCCACATTTTACTATCGCTGGGGACCTTGTCAAAAGCCTTACTGAAATCAAGAGAATATTATTGATTAATGGAAAACAGAGTCAGTGTTGCACTAAATTATCGACACACTGCAACTTAACTAATGCATAAGCAAACCCAACATTCATATACAGGTTGAGCCTCCCTTAGTTGGAATTCTGATATATTCTGAAATGTAAAACTTTTTCCATGGGTGGTGGAGACAGGGGCACTTTTGATTTCTGATGGTTCAGTGTACACAAACTTTGTTTCATATACAATATTATTAAAAATATTATATTTAAAATTAGCTTCAGGCTATGTGTGTCAGGTATATATGAAACATAAATGATTTTCATGTTTAGACTTGGGTCCCATCTCTAAGATATCTCATTATGAATATGCAAATATTCCAGAATCCAAAACCTTTCTTGTCCCAAGCATTTTGGATAAGGGACACTCAACCTCTACCAGTTACTTGTATAGAAACTTAAATTAGCCTTTAGCATTGTTATACATTTCTTGTAGCATGTAATTCCAATCACTTTATGCTACAACCTTCCAAAAATGAAAGTCATGAATGACTTAAATGAGAAAAGTTACAGAATTCTTTGAAATTTTCTGAATAAAAGTATTCTGTACTTACCCCCCATAAACTCAGGTTCTGATTAAATTCCTTATCACCTTCAAATACAATATGGATGTTTAACTGAAAAACAAAGAGTGCTTTATGCAATAATAAGCAAGTACTCAGTATTTTTAATCTTAGTAAGTTCTATGGATGTTAAATCCTGCAGGTCTCATAGTTATTACTGAATAAACATGTTTTAAATGGAAATGTGTAAAACTGAGGACTATAGTCCCAAAGTTTGAAACAGTCTTATTATTACTTCAATGGGGCACAAGAATCAGAATCTAAAGCACACTAAAGAAATGCTGATAGCACCATAAATACTAGACTCAATAGTGTTAAGTCACCTTGTGACATACCGTAGTTGTAACATATCAAAATAAGGACATGCGTGCTCCCACTCCGCCTTTTAAATATAGACTACAATAAATTCAAAGTATGTGGACATGGCGCTTCTCCCCATCACAGACTGGCTAGTGATGATTTGCTTGTTTGCTTGATGAAATCACCTAGGACTAGTGGTTCACTTGTTCTCTGATAGAAGGTGGCATGTCCATGTGGGAGAAAGTGGTTCTACTAAGTAGGGGAAGATAGGCTTAATGACATATAAAGAACTGGCTTGTCAAGAAGAGAGAATAGGTTCTTTGGCAGGTCACTACACCACTGACACGAGTCCTGCACTTGCAGGAAGCTTTACTCAGAATATTCTAGAATTGAAAAGTTTTATGGTAGAAATCCCCCTACACCACCTTCAGAGTAGACAGCAGGGTGTGATTCCTGCCTTCCAGCTGTTACTTTTTGACCATCAAGTGGGCACATTCTCTGTATATTCTCAGATTTAAGGGGATTCATCTGATCATTCCAGGTTTTTCTTTTCATTCTCTTCTTCTATCGTTGTTCTCTTTGTAGCACTTATGTTCTCCCTGTGTTTTCTGAAACTTGCTTCTGTAGTCAATCATCATCTCTCTGGACCACCATGCACTGCTCTTCAATTTTTCAAAGGCTTATGGATTTGCAGACCTCATTCAGAAAGTGTATCAATTACATTTCCTCTGTCTTCTGTGCCATAGGGGAAGGGCACTTGGTGGCTTTGTGCCAACACTTCCAAGCTTTCATACAGTGTGCACAAAGAAATCAGAGCCCTTGCCTCTAGTTTAGGAGTGGGCCCCTCAGGTAGTGGACACAGCTGCCCACAAATGCTCACCTTCCTAGGGGTAGAATGCAAATATATGATGTACTGAGATCAGGAAGAATGAGCTAGATTAGAACTTTTCTCCCCACTGTATTTCCACAGGCAGGAAAATTATGCCACCACCCTGATCCAAAAAATTACTGTCTTCAAAAAATCATAGTATGTCTTTTGTTACAGCTGGAAACCAAACCAAAATGGCAACTCACCATTGTGCTATTTGCTTCTACGAAGCTAAGTTCAGGAACTGAATTCTTAGCATAGATTGAAATGGTCACTTCACCGCCAGTCTGATGCCAATCATGCCTGCATGGAACCACTTTCTTCTACAAGTGATAAGATATAAAAGCATGGCTTGACTCTAATTCTAAATACTTTCACTGCTACCATTTTTAAAGGAAGTATTCCACTGACATTACTGCTTAGAGTAGAATACAACAAACTACTTTCACTAACATAGCAAATGTATAAGAATATTTATGGTATAGTAAGAGCCAATATTACTAAGACTACAGAGTATATGCGTGTGTGTTGTACAATACCAATATTTTACTTAACTGATAATAAACAAACTTTTTTCTGCGCAGAAACTGTTGTTTGTTGTGTGCCTTCAAGTTGTTTCCGACTTATGGTGACCCTAACACAAATCCACACGGGGTTTTCTTGGCAAGATTTGTTCAGAGGAAGTTTGCCATTGCCTTTCCCTGAGGATGAGAAGGTGTGACTTGCCCAAGGTCACCCAGTGGGTTTACATGGCCGAGCAGGGAATCGAACCCTGGACTCCAGAGTCACAGTCCAACACTCAAACCACTACACCATGCTGGCTCTCACTATTTTACTTAACTGATATTATAAAAGAAAATTTATTTCTGTGGAGAAATACATCCCTCTTATATAAGCAGAATTATATTTGCAGTTCTGCTCTCAAAAGTCAAACATTTCTCAATTAATTATACTGAGAAGTGTTATGTGACTTTTGAGGGTGGAAGGGGTACCAAACAACAAATGGCAAGTGGCTTGGGTGTAGGACTAGGATTCTGGAAGCAAGGATCTGAATCACAGCTTGGTCATGGAAACCCACTCTGTGACCTCTGGCAAGTCACACTCTCTCAGCATCAGCAAATATTGCCAAGAAAAATCCTTAGGATTTCCATATATCAGAAATAGCTTTCACGGACAAAACAGTAACAACAAGAAGTATGGCTTATGGAGACTGTTAGGAAAAATACCTGAGCAAAGCTTCAACACTGCCTGGAGAGGACAAGCATATGACTCTGCCCACGCACTCCTAGTATAGAAAGTTCAGTGTAATTTTGTATTGTATTATCTTTCTTCAATCACCCTACATTCTCCCACCAAACTGATGTGAATGAATACCACCAAGCTTTTAAGAAAAAGGTGGGGGCATGTTTTAATAAAATAGACAGTTTAATGGCATAGCATTTGCTATAATTTTACAGCATTAAAAATTAATACATTGGCAGAGGAAATAAAGATTATAATCCACAGGATCAATGTTTCTATAAAGCACGAAGTTTTAGATGCATCACTAGTAAATTCTGGTTTTTGTCCAAATAAAGATGCTTCTCTAAATATTGTGCTCAAACTGCTTTCTTATCCCTTCTAGTGAAATTTCAGGACATTTCAGTCCTGCAAATTGGCTGAAAAATGTGCCTATGAAATTTGATAAACAGGTCTATACAGAGATGTACATCTGAACATGAATGAGACAGCCAAATATTAATACAATTCCAGCTACTTACAGAATCCTTCTTAATCCACATATGTGTTCCTTTAGTACAACCCTCTTGAGACAAGAAGGTATTGAAGTCTGAGGTTTTCCTCTTACAACAACTCCAGTATTTCATCCTATGTATAAAGATGTAGAAATACCAAATGAAATCACAATAACACCACTATATGTTTCTATTATTTAGTTATTACCACAAAATGACTGTGGCAATGGTTACATAGAATTTAAGAAATCAATGTGTTATTTGCATTATACTCACCCTTCATGAAATATAGGCACACCCATGTGATATGTACACATTTCTTCCATGCTGTGTGGTCCTTCAAATGTCTAGGGAAAATTTTACCACAAAATTAGTCTTTTATTAGTTGCTGAACCAGACTAAAGTATATGGCACTATCTTCTACTTTTTCTAAGCAGAAGAAAAACATTTGGTATGCCAGTACTATTACCCTACATTTCCCATTAGCTACACCATCAGCTAAGGTAGCAGACTAGCTTCCAGAATCTTGCCATTTCTTTGAGTTGCCTGGTTGAGAGAGAAGAGTGGAAGGGAAAAAAAAACTACTGTGTGGATTTTTAAAAAACAGTCTTCCAACCTCGTGCCTTTCATATGTTTGCGATCTAAAATCCTCACAATCACTGACCTCTGTTCATGTTTTCTAGGGCTTCCAAGAACTGTACTCCAAAAAATCTTGAAAATACTAGGTTGGAAAAACCTATTCTAAAGTATGGATAATTCCTTAAAACCACTTCAAAAATTTACACAGATCAACATTAATCAAATATGTCATTTAAAAGTTCACACTGAGCTTCAACATGAGAGAAAAAAAAATTGAAAAAGAAACACCGTTGCTGGTATGGGGAGCAATATACAAGGGAAGGGGGCAATATATAAAGGAATATAGATAGATAGATAGATAGATAGATAGATAGATTAGTTAATAGTGAGCAGTTTTGAGAGAGGATGTGAATAATTTGTTGGTATGTAAGCCAATATGTTATGTTAATAAACTCATATAATTAAAATTAAAAATTAAAAGCCCACATGATACTTTATGTATAAAATTAAATGAAAGAGTTCATTTTTTCAGCAGCACAGAAGTGACAACTTACAATGGAGAGGGAAAATGAAGTTTATAAATACATGGTACATTTACCTGTACATCAAATCTGAGATATTTACCTTTGTACAGCCTGCATTTTTACATGTAGTCCCAATCTTTATCTCATCACTATCATCTTCTGTAAAATAAGAATGCTGTTTTAAGATTGCATTCTTTTAACTCCAAGCTTATAAAGCATGCAGTATAGAGAAGCAGAAATATTTAACATTTTTTGACCCAAGACTATTGTTCAAACTATTGTCAATGAAACCATCAAACATGCTGATTCTCTGTAGATTGTTCTGAACTCTTAGGAATGGTGAACTACTAATTGTGAGAGATTTAATTTACATTTACAGAAAAACCTGGAATCTAATCAAGTTACATACCCTTTTTTATTTCATTCCCTGATGACAGCTTCAGCTTCTCTAATGCTTGCTTCAAGGAAGCTGATACTTTCAGCTGCAAGTAACTCATTGGCTCATCTGGGCTAAAGAAAGCACAAGGGAAGGTCTATTACTTTTAACATGACAGAAATATTAATTGGTTTGAATTTCGCTATCAAGTCTCAAGGATTACTCTTCAACAGTGATGGGGAAGGGAGGATAGGACAAACAACTGGGGTGACTTTTAGTGGTCCATATCAATAACCTCTCAATGACATGGTGGCTCAAGTGGTTAAGATGCTGACTGTTGATTGCAAGATCGGCAGGTTGGCAGTTCGAGGCCCAGGTGGCGTGTGATGGGGTGAGTTCCCATCACTAGTCCCAGCTTCTGCCAACCTAGCAGTTTGAAAGCATGCAAATTCCAGTAAATAAATAGGTACCACTTTGGTAGAAAGGTAAACAGCGTGCTGTGCAGTCATGCTGGCCACATGATCACAGGGTAGTCTCTGACAATGCTGGCTTTTCAGCTTAGTAACGGAGATAAGCCTCACCCCCTACAGTCAAACACAACTTGAAAACCTCTTCAAAGGGAAATACCTTCACCTTTTATCAATAATCCAATCATAAACATATATGGGGCAGGGAAGAGAGAAAAATGGGTCTATAACTAAAAATCACGCTCAGGGTCAAAAACAAGCATGCAAACAGGTTGAAGACAACTCTTTTTTAAAAAAAGCAGAACATAGAAACACAGCTGGCCGCACCAACCACAAGCATGCCCTGTTCAGTGCAGGACCACAGCGACCAAATGCTGCAGTCCAAAGGCCAGCTGCCACCATGGTCCACAATGAAATGCTGGTAAGGAGCTCTTTTTTGCATTCCCTTTTGTGCTGGGTTTGGGCCGCCTCAGGTGGCCGTGGCCCAGCTTTGGTCCAATCCATGGGCATGCATCATCTGTTCTGGGCCTAACTGCAGAGGTTAGTATTGAACAGCCTGGAACAACCAATAAATCAGAGGGAGACAGGAATAAATATGGTTCTAAAAGCCTAAGTCAGATTTAATTTATTGTAAGCCACTTTGTGTCCCAAACTTAGAAAAAGGTGAGAATACTGTCCAGGCTCTTCAGAAGGGGACAAAATGGGGCTTTGCTAATACGTTTCAATTTTACAATCCAAAACAAAGTTTTAGCATTCATTTAAATCTAAGAGAAAGGTTTTATTTTACAATTCATCTGGTAATACTTCATTACAAAATTAAACATTCTCAGAACAGCAATCTAAACTGGGGGCTGGGGGAAAGACCAGTGACACTCTACTTGTTAAATTGCCATTTTTATCACTTCCAGTTAGTATGACCAACAGTCAGGGATGAAGTGAGCACAAGTTCAATATCATATCTTAACTGCTTATTTTCTATCTCTGCATAGCTACTCAGTCTCAAAATATAAGTATACAGCATACTTAAGCAGGTGTGAAAAAGAATTTTCAGTGTTAGAATTACATTTATGCAAAAATACAATACTTTAAAATACATATTATAAATTGGAAAACAGATTTGGCATGAAGGCCCAATCTCAGTACAGTACCTTGGTCTTTGAATGGCTTCCACTGGCTTTGGTGCTTGAATTATGTGCTCTTGAAATTTAGGCTTCAAGTCTGCTAACTCCTTTCGCTCAGAGGTACTTTTAACTTCAGGTTTAACAGGTTCAGGGGGCTTTTCACTGTTATGAAAACCCTTGGTGCAACCCTGTTTTAGAAAGGATATGTTTGTATACAAGTGAACTATCATTAACAATGTATTATTCTGCTAATGTAATTTCTTAAACTATCTGTTGCTTCATCTCAAATCTGTTGTCACTGTACACCTTCCAGTTGTTTCTGCCTTATGGTGACCCTCTCATGGGCTTTTCTCGGTAAGATTTGTTCAGAGGGCTTTTTGCCTTTGCTTTCCTTTGAAGCTGGGATAGTGTGACTTGCCCAAGGTCAACCAGTAGGTTTCCATGGCTGAGTGGGGAATTCGAACCCTGGTCTCCAGAATCACAGTCCAGCACTTAAACCACTACACCACGCTGGCTCCCTTTGTCTCAACCATATGGCAGTAAACACCATGATTAGAAATATACATTTAAATTGACTTCTCCCTCATGTTTCTTATATAAACAGACTAACATTATCTATAAATTTAACTACCCTCTTTGGTTAAATATTGTATTCTGTATTTCATCGTAATTATATAAATTAAAGGTGATCTCACATTGTTTAGAGCCAATTTTATACAGACAAAATGGTATTACAAAGGGAAGTACAGACCAATAAGAATCAAACATGTTCAGGAGGCAAGAATGCTAACTGATTGTTTTGGAGTGGGAAGGCAGAAAACAACGGAAAGGAATAGAATATCCTCAAAAACAACCTGGCTACAAATGTGAATGGAGCCACTTCACAGTGGAACACTTTTGTTGTAAGCCTATTTATATAATCAAAATGTCACTGAATAATATCTAGTTTGGTCCTTCTGGTATTTGGTCATTTAAAATTAAGGCTTGTCTTTGTCAATTCATTTTTATTCATATTCAAAGATACAGCTGTGTTAATCTCTATCCATATGCAAAGGGATCTCATAGCAACTTTGAGACTAACTAAAGGCTAAACAGACCTGTGATAAATGCTGGCATCGGGGCAGAGTGGAGGTGTGGCAACAGCCTGTCGCCCACCCAAATGCTGCCCTGACAGTGGGCAGCATCACACTGTTTCTTTGACACAGCATTTAGATCAGGGGTAGGCAACCTTTCCCCTTTAAGGGCCGAGGGACTTCAGCTCCCAGAATCCCAGGAGCTATTGGCCAACATGGGACTATTGGCCAACATGGCGGAGGCTTCTGGGAGCTGAAGTCCCTTGGCCCTTAAAGGGGAAAGGTTGCCTACCCCTGATTTAGATGGACTGCACCAAAGAAATGTGGAAAAGCCTTCACTATGGTGGCAAGGGCGGCTTTTTGCCACTTTAAAAAAGAGAGGCATTTTGCCGGCCCTTTTTGGGATGGCAAAGTGTCAGATCAGTGCTGTGGCGTGCAGTTGCTGCGGCCCCAATCCGGTGCTGAAAGGGGCGGCAGGACACCGCTTCAAAGGGGCAGTCTGTTCAGCTCCTAAGAAAAAGACGCTTACAGCTTAAGCTTTCATAGACTTGGTCTACTTCATCTGATGAGGTAGACCCAGTCTACAAACTTATGTTATACACATTACAAACTTCTTACTCTCAGTTAGCCTCAAAGATGCTATAAGATCCCTCTGCATGTTTATTCATGTAATGAATAATCTTAAATGACTATGACTGTTATAAACCACAGGAATATTTAAAAATGACAAAAATAATTTCTGTATAAGCATATCTTCCCCTAATTGTGCTATGTTTATATATCACTTGCATTCTTCATCACTACTTCATTTATGATTTTGAATAGAAAATAAGGAGACTGGGTTCCTATATTGTGAGCAACCTGTAAAAATAGAGAACAACTTGATGTGCTGCATCTCACACATGATAAGAAATCTGTGTCTGCTAAAATCTGGTCTTCTACTTAACTATTAAAAGTATAGCTACCTGGCCATCTTTGCAATAGTATGTCCTATGCTGAAGTGATTTGGTCAACCAGGATTTGACACTCAAGATCAAGTCCATTTTTCAATAACCCTATACACTTTTACATTACATACCGCAATGCTCAAAAAGTCAGAGAAGTCTGTAGTTCTTCTTTTGCAGCATGACCAGCCCTGTGAAATATAAGCCCATGTAAGCCTAGTTCAGCACTGAAAGCATTTAGTAATATTTACTATCATAACTGCAAACACTCATAGAAATACAGCAACAACTCACAATGAGGATAACAAACTCCACAGATGACAAAAAAGTATGGAACAGTTTTAAAACTGGAGACCTCATTTTTCATAACTTTGAAAAGGTAAGCTAGATTTGCATTGAGAATGACTATTTTACCAAACAGTCAAACTTCAAAAACAAAATAAAACAAATTTCATTCAGACTCACTTGGTTGAGATTAAATGTAGGATCAGCAGTGATCTGGAAAATATTTTAACATAATGCTATTGACTAACCATTACTAGATGGCAAATCTTATTAGCAATGGTTTAACATGGTTAACTTTTTGCTCAGATTTATTTTCTGACTGTAGGGGAAACATTACATTCCACAGAATACACAGGTTGTGGAGAGACACACAAATACCATCAAAAGACATTTCAATAATTATGTTTGTACACTTACTTTAAGAGCATCATGAAACACTGGTACTCCTGGGTGATATGTGCAAGACTCTAATAAGTAGAAAAACAGAAGGATCAATTAAAAAGGTCAGCAAATAGCATCTGAAATATATGGGGGGGTTGCAGACTGTCAGAAATAGTGCAAATTCAGTCCACTTTTAGGGTTAGGGTTAGAGCTAGGGAATCATGGGAATTGTTTTTTTTTCTGAGACATTGAGCCTTCTCTGTCAGAGAGCTCTAGTGCCACAATAAACTACAGTTCCCATGATTCCCTAACCCTAACCCTAACCCTAAAAGTGGACTGAATTTGCACTTTTTCTGGCAGTCTGCAACCCCCCATAAACTCCATTTATTTACCTTCATGAATTAATCAGTCCTATTTGATTTCAATTACACCCACACCAACTGCAGGCTTGCCATCCGTGGTTTGAGCTTCCGCAGATGACAAGCCCCAGCTGTGCGGGAGTGTGTGCCCATTGAAAAGAATGAGACTTAAGGTCCCACGTCTTTTGCTATCTGGGGGGGAGGGCAGGCTTTGAAATGGATCCTCCTCGGATAGAAAGGGTGCACTGTAACTATTTTTATATTTTCCATAAAGCAAAGCAAATTGAGCAGGATATGAGACATGCTCTTTCTATTTGGGGAAAAAAAGATTACAAGCAGTTATGAAAAAACACCTTCTTAACCACTGCATTTGTTTTCTGTGGTGTCTTTGCTACCATTTGATCTTTAAACCCCAAAGCAAGTATGTGCATAGATACATAATACATACACACAGTCATGTTAGTGTAACAGAAACACTGCAATGATAATACAGGCTGAATCTTCCTTCTCCGAAACGCTTGGGATCAGAAGTGTTTTTGATTTTGGAATAGTTGCATTGCTGTTGTTTATTGTTAACTGCCTTTGCGGCAATCTTGACCCATGGCAACCCTATGGATGAGACAACTCCAGATCCTCCTGTCCTCTACGGTTCTGCCCAGCTACTGCAAACTCATATTTGTGGTCTCTTTAATAAAGTCCATCCATCTAGCATGTGGCCTTCCTCTCTTTCTACTCCCCTCTACCTTTCCTAACAGTATTGTATTTTTCAATGATTCATGACTTCTCATGATGTGTTAAAAGTACGACCATCTAGGTCAGCGGTCGGCAACCTCTTTTGCTGGCGGGCCGGGAGGGGGGAAGAATGACGTTGGGGGTCACCCAACGTCGTGCGCATGTGCGTGCGTGCAGGACACACTATTTTTGAAACCAAAATGGCACCTCACGTCGCGCACACATGCACACAACAGCGGGGCGCCATTTTGACAGCTGCGGGGGTCCCCCAGGAGGGCTCCCTTGACCGCGCCGGGCCCTGGAGAGGCCCAGCATGGCACCAGACCTCAGAGAGGCCCGGCGCGGCCGCGGGGGTTCTCCAGGGTGCCATTATGTGTTCCAAAATGGCACCTGTTGACGGGAAAGGTCACGTGAGACTCCGGGCGCCATTTTGGAACACACAAAAAAAAGTGGCAGTGGTGGCGGCAGGACCAGGCAGGGGCCGGTCCGCAGGCCTCCATGGGCCGGGTGCAGCCCGCGGGCCGCAGGTTGCCGACCCCTAGTTTAGATCTTGTCATCTTGGCTTCTAGGGGTATTTTTGGCTTGATGTGTTCTAGAACCCATGTTTGTCCTTTTGGTTGTCCATGGAATCCTCAGCACTCCACATTATTTCAAATGCATTGATTTTCTTCCTATCTTCTTTCTTGACTGTCCAGCTCTCACATCCATACACGGTAATAGGGAATACAATGGCTTGTATGTATGATTCTGACTTTTGTGCTGAGCTGTATGTCTTTGCATTTTAGGATCTTTTCTAGTTCTTTCATAGCCACTCTTCCCATTCTTAATCTTCTCCTGATTTTCTGACTGCAGTCCCCGTTTCAATCAATGTTTGATCCCAGATATGAGAACTCTTTTACTATTTCTGTTTCCTCATTGTCCAGTTTGAATGTGTGTAAGTTCTCTGTGGTCATTATTTTTGTTTCACTTACGTTCAAGAGTAAACCTGCCTTTGCATTTTCTTCTTTGATCTTCCTTAGTAGTTCTAGATCTTTGAGGTTTTCTGCTAGTATTATGGTGTTGTCAGCATATCTCAGATTGTTGATATTTCTTCCTCCTATTTTCACTCCTCCCTCTTCCATATCCACGCCTGCTTTCCTTACAATATGTTCTGCATGTAAGTTGAATAGGTGGGGTATACTTGTATACATGTAATGAAATATCTTGGAGATGGGACCCAAGTCTAAACACAGAATTTATTTATCTTTCATATACACCTTATACACATAGCCTGAAGGTAATTTTATAAACAACACTCAACCATCAGACAGCAAAGGTGTCACTATCTCAGCCATCCATGTGGACAATTTGGGAAGATTTTGAATTTCAAAATTCCAGATATGGGAGACTCAACCAGTATGTACTATATAAAAAACAGAACATCCCCAAATGCTTCCTATAATATTTAATATGTTACACATTTTTGACAAGTCCAATAAAAATCAAATATCATC